GATCTGTAAATCCTGTTTTATTGGCAGCTGCAGCAGCTGGCTAATTCTTCTAAAATGCCTTATAGCCTTCAGGTCACTAGCCATGCTGGGTTGGAACAATCCAGCTTTAAGGCCATTTGGGGGAAATGGACAATCACCGCCTTCCTGCTGTCTTGTAAGCTGTGGGTGCTGTGGCCCTGCAGACCATCGTCCCACCCTCTGGCCAGGTGTTTTGTCCCAGTTGCAGATCTGACAAGGAGCCCGTTAAGAAGTTTAAAGTTTTTACACAGTTGGACGACAAGGCAGTTTTTATTTTTGAAAACATTTGCTGCGCCTATCCCCTTTATTTCTTCGAAAGAAGTAGCTGTGAGGATTTTGGAAATGGTAAGAACCATTTCAAGGGAAAACCCTGACTTGAGTTTGAAGCCATTAGAGAGACAGAGCAAGGGGAAAGCTGCTGCTGCAGGGGAGAGGCCCATTCCAGACCCAGAGCTCTTTGTCCAGGTGAGCTTCATCAACACACCTAGTGACCAGCAGGATGCACGGAGCTCCGCAGGGATTTTGCCACATCCAGAGTGAGTTATAACAGGATTCTAAAAGTTAGAGGGACGAGGGAAGAGGGGAAAAAGTTTGCCACACTCCGCAGAACTTATTTTAGATGTTACTGTGCTTGGCATAACTACTATAAAAATAAGAGGTTTAAGAGCTGCAGAGCAAGTCAGGACTGGCCAAAATATGTGGCTTTGTGTCCCTGCACTTTCCTCTCCCCTCCCCCCTTTGCTTGGCTCGACTGTGCCCGAACCTGCAGAGGTTAAGAAAGTACCATGGTGTAAGATGTTCCCAAGCAGTGAGCCCTGGGAGTTTTATAGACCCCAGCTCCAGAACAGGGACTAAGGAGGAGGCGGGGACAACCTTCAGAATGGCCCAGGGTGGTGGGACCCTGAGGCAGGGAATGGCTGCCAGTGGGCGAGGGGGCGCTGTTTCGGGCCCATCTGCAGGGGGTGGCTGTGACTGCCTGGATGCATGTGTCACTACTGTCCTCCTGTCCAGCCNCCAGGGGGGGCCTTGTTTCCCAGGACTGGTCACTGCCAAGACAAAAACTCTCCATCCAGCTCTGTTCTCCCAGATTAAGTTGCTTCCCAACCTTGACTGTAAAAAGATTAGAAAAACACGCAAGGGGAAGTTTTCCTTTCTACATCCATCCAGAGAAAGATATTTTTCCCCACTGAATTATCCTAATTCAATTTTAAATTTTTCAAGGTACCCTAAGCTGGGGACCCAACATCCTGAATCTAACTCTGCAGGAAATGATGTGTTTGCCAAATTCTCAGCATTTATAAAAAACACCAAGAAGGATGCCAACGAGAGTGAGTACCTCTCATCTTCCTGTTCTCTGTTTCTCCCTGGACCTCTGCTTAACCCCCAGTGGAGCTGCTTAGAAGACCCTGGGAATTCTGACTCATTTCACTGAGGGTAGACGCATGAGTCTGTAAATAAGGAAAAAGTTCTTCCAACTTTGAATCTGCACATGGGTTTCCAGAGGCTGAGTGCTTCTTCTAGAGATTGGGAACCCAGAAAATGACATTTTTAGGGAAAAATATTCACACCCAGGTGTTCCCCTCTGAAGCATGGGAATCGTTTTAAGTGATGCTTCTGTTAGCACTTAACCCATCACAGGATTTCTATAAGTACTTTTGAATAAATAAATGAGTTCTAGAAGTAGCAACCTTGTATAGACAGCAGGGTAATTTTCCAGGGAGGAGTGGGTCCTTTATTTAGATTCTAAATCCACATCGCCTGTTGTCGGCTGGCCACGTCTCAGGAAGGAAGGGAGTCAAACTCCATCCCTCTTACCTAGAGAAGAGTGACACTCACCTGCATGTTCTAGCTCAGTGGTTTTTTGCTTTTCTGTTTTAGTTTATGAAAAGAACCTGCTAAGGGCCCTGAAGAAGCTGGACAACTATTTAAATAGCCCTCTGCCTGATGAAGTAGACACCTACAGCACCG